TAGGAAAGATTATGATGAAATCCGTTTGAATTTGAATTTCATCATGATGTGGATTTAAGTACTTTCCTAATTAGGAATTTCCAAAATTGGAAAGTCTTGAAATTCAAATTTTGAATTTTCAAAATTGGAACAAGTGGGGGATGGGGGAGGAGGCCGGCGGTTGAGTGGCTTGGGGACGGGTAGTGGTGGTGGGGTGGCCGGCGGCCAAGAGGGAGGCTAGGGCCGGCATTGTGGGGAGAGGAAGAAGAGCGGGATGATGGGGATAGACCACGAGTCACGGACTCTTCCAATGACTGGTGGGTATTGCTTTCGCCCTCACCTTGGGCTCTCGTTCTCCTCTCTAGTGCACCACAAGAAGAAGAAGATAACAAAACAAGATTTCATTCAAAATATTCATTAACCCAATACATCATATGAGACCACTATATATAGGTCTCCACTCATGAAAAAGGAAAAGTACGAAATTGCCCTCTGGGCTACAATAACAAAACAACTCCCCACAAGGGTAAAAACGGGAAACAATAAATAACTAAATAATTCATCATGACATCTTAATCAAAAGTAGAGGCGCTGAATCGTGGTCATCGATCTGCGATTCTGTCGTTGATAAACATGTCGGTAGCGTCTGTCGATGTCCTCATCATAACCTTTCTAATTCTAAGCAAAATGATAATGTTACTTCAAAATTCTTAATAAGCTTAACTCTTGGTTTAGTGGTTGGAAACATAAACTTCTTTCTTTTATTGGTAGATTTTAGCTTGTTTGATCCCTTTTATGAAACTATCTTTGTTATTGGTTCATATATACTATTATACCTCATGATATTATAAAGAGTACTACTAGTTCTATTATTAATTTTCTTCAAAACAATGGCGAGAATAGAACACTCAGACTCATATCTTAGAACACCACCACCTTGCCTACTAATAAAGGTGGTCCTGGTTTCCTCAATATTGATTATTTACATATAATGAGCAAGTGCAAACTCCTATAGAGATTGCACAATTGTATGATCTATCTTTTTATTTGTCTTTTCAATAACTATTCACCTAGTTGGACTAAGCCTCCTCATGATGATACTAGTTTTTGAAATGCTCTTTGTGAAACTGCCATAAATAATAGTAATTGGCTTACTCTCAAGGTTAGCAATAATCACTTACTTTTTTCATTAACTCTGTCATTGCCACCTTTAACTGCTCTCATTAAGCCACCATCAATGATTTTATTTTCAATGGGAAATGTTGTTTCCGTCCTCTACAAATTTCACATACAATGATTATGTTCGTCAAATTACCCAACTCGAGATTTATTCTTCCAGTTCTATATGTTATTCACTAGGGAGTAATACTTTTTCATACAAAATGACATAAAACTAACTATATTTGACTGATTATAAACTACCTTGGAGCAAGTTTGTTTGGTTCAAAGAATGCTCCACTAAATATGCAACTTTTGTTTGGAAAATCTTAGTTGGCCACTTAAAGACCAAGGTTGCCTTTAAAGCTAAGAGTGTCAATGTTAGTCAAAGTTGTGTATTTTGTAATATATTTTTGGAATCACACAATCATTTTTTCTTTGATATTCCTTATGTCTTTAACATCTCGAAAGATGCATATATTATAGTTCCTAACAACTTAGCTTTAACATTAATCAAGCCCTTATATTTGTGTAGATGATATTAAGTGTAAAATTACTAGAAGATATTTTTTTGTTCTTGCTATTCATATCAGTGCTCACTCCTTATGGTATGAAATAAACTACAATAATTTTTAATGCCAAAGAATGAACTGATGTAGCATTTTAGTTTCAAAAACTTTTTTTATAATAATGATGAAATGCGGGATGTGGATGTTTCAAAGTGATATTCCTTGCAGTATCTTATAGCTATACTATCATTGAATTTTTCTTTATCTCAAATGTTGTTGGTGGTGGTTTATGATTCTAGTTATATGGTTTCTATCTTTTGAATTTTGCTTTACGGTGTATGTCCTATATGTAGTTTTAGTAAAATTTAATTTTTAGCATAAATCACCTCTTAAACAAAAAGAACTTTTATGCATCAATCTTGGTGTAGAGGTTTATAAATTTCATACAGGATTTGTTGGTTTAAGTTATTTTGTTTTAAAAAAAATTCAAGAAAAATGAATATTACAAAGACTTATAATGATTTTAAGAATGTTAAATGCAAGAGGGTGATGAGTAGAGTAAAATTGTTGATTTATATGATAGGTTGTCACTCAAATCTCCTCAATGATACTCCAGTCTTTTCCTTGTTATCCACTCGTGGTTAAGTTGCTGCTTTCTTACTGTCTAAACCACCCTTGATCCAAAGCCATCTTCTTGATGTTATTGCATAGCTGACAATGAGAGGTTTGAATATTGCAAGGTTAAATAAATTCCTTGGAGAAGGATCCTAATTCTGAGCCATAAATAAGGGTACCTTAACTTAGTATTCTTGCTGTAGGCAATTAGCCCTCTCTGGCTTCTTCTTACTGCTTGGGACTACAAGCAGTCTCTTAATTTTTCCTTTGCAGAAAGATCACAACGTCAAGATGGTATTGGCTTGGCTAAGGTCTAGGATAGTAACGAGGCAGTGTTCAGTAGTGATTTGAGAGAAATACCTTGAGGTGTGTTTACATCCTCTCCATTAACTCCCATGTTTATTGCATGTGATCTTGTATAGGTTGTTATTGACTTG